ACCCCCTGTTCCCTCTTTTTTTTGTTCGGTGTTTTTCCAACTGCCAGCGAAACAGTAGGATACAAGTCAGTTCTCGTCACCTAGCGCACCAATCGTCATGGCACCACTTCGAGCGTGTGCTCCACTACGATATCTCGGGGCGTGACAGTTGTGTAAGGCATGGGTGCTGAACTTCGTGGCGGCGTGGAATCCAAATCGTTTTTTTGGCCCGTGGGCAATCGGGCCGCATCGCCAGGCGAAAAAGCCACACCGGATTTCACATTGCCACGATGCTCTCGCCACATAAAGCAACCGTGCCCAGCACAACTATCACGCTCAGAGACACAACGGGGCACACGCTCGAATAGGTGCGATGGCGATCGGCGTCCTAGGTTTCGAGAAACAATGTGGAGCTGCGCTCACATTGCTGGCAGTTGAACGCGGCGGTAAAAAAAAAAACATGCGCGACAGCAATACATAGCCTCATCACACCGCAGAGAGTCCAGCGGCATCGAGCCCACATAGTGTCGCCCACTGTGCGTGTGTGTCGCCTGTTGTGCGTACGCTGTCGGCCGTGCGTGTGTTCTCTGCTGCAATCCGCTGTGTGCTCCGACAAAAAAAAAGTGCATCTGCTGACCCCTGTAGTCTAAAATCAATTCATGTACTATAAAACCTAGATTAGGCGAACAGACTGTACAAATTCTTTTTTCTGGGTGGAGCCTATATTGCGCTGTCTCCTCGGGCAAGATTAAAAATTTCGCTTCGCTCGAATAATACTGCTACTTCGGAGTACTATGCATACACGTGCGGAGTAACAGAAGAAAAACACTCTTCTATGCTCTAGGTTCGCCCGGCTGTCTTTCTTTGTCATTTTGTCTGACCCAAAAAAAATGTTCTGCAACGCTCTTGTAGACTGCGCGATATGACAAGTCCCAACTGCTGCTGTATATGACAACGAACCCCACTTAGTCATTATGTGTCTTGTGTGTTTGTGATACAGCTAGTGTGATTGCTCCCTGGTATCTTATAATTCGGTAGGTTGTTAACCTTTGTCTCAGGTCAACATCAAGATCGACTTGTAGGACCACATGCATGCGGAGGAATGCATTCATGATCGTGTGTGTTGGATCGCCTGTGTGTGGAACACGCGCGGGCAGAGAGAGATAGGGAGAAATACTCTTTTGCAAGTATCGTGAAAGGGCTCACTCCTCCACCTACCCTTCACCTACCAGCACACGGCAAGACCGACGGCAGTGGGAGGCTTACCTTGTGCAGGCCTACCCGATCGGTTGGAGAAAAGGAGACGACTCGAGTGATTTCGGCCCTGTTCTTGTAGACGGTAGCCCTCTTCACGGGTGCGTCGAGGCTTGAAAACGAGACCTTCTGCGGATCCGAGCAGGCATTGGGCACGGTGGGAGAAGTGCTGTTAGCCATGGGCTTGTATTCAGAGGGGGTCTCGGTCGACAACAGCACGATTGATTCTGCATTGCCATTCCCTGCTCTGTGATCAAGCGTCTATTTTTTTTTTTCCCGAAAGGTTTCGTAGAGGAGCGAGGTTCGGAAGGCGTGCGGGTTGTAACGAACTAGTTTTTTTTTTTACCGTCGCCCGAGTTTTCTCTCCCGTCTGACTTTGTCTTCACCTTCGCCCTTCCCTCATCAAAACACATCTTTCTGCCGTGGTAGCATCGGTGGAGTGATTGCAGATGAGCGGTCGAGCACGAGTGCCGCTGGGGGCCTCAGAGCGAGCAGGGATTTTTGGCAATCCCTCGTCGGCTAGAACGGCCCCCTCAACCCTGTCGGACTTGCAGTCGACACACAGAGATGATGCTCGACGAGACAGCGTCCCCCGCGCGATATCACGACAGCATCAGCACCAGCACCAGGGAGAGGCAGTGGCGGGCAGTGCCTCTGCTACACCCTACGGAGTGCTGTCACCGGGAAGGCGACGGTGTGTTTGTCAGTAGACCTTCCACAGAAAAAAAATGGGTCTGGATCTTGATCTTGAGAGGGAGAACCTATGCTAGTCTAGACTACAGTAGTACAGTGTACAGTTGCATGCACAACAAAGATCATACTACATATCTAAGTACTTGATCATTGCGCCCCATACAAGCAATATTGACAGAGAATGCTCCATGAATGACATATGATGGTTGAGGGGTGATGTTGTCACGAAACCACAGTCAGTACGTGCTTCTGCTGTACTGTAACTCGCATTCCTCCCTATTGTGGCCGTTGGTCGCTCATTCCTGGCCGTTACTTGCCCAATCTTCAAACCCGAACGTGGGCCAGCCCCTACTGCTCGCCTTATAATGGCAACCCGATCACACCCGGAAGGGAAGATTTTGGACCTACGAGTCAAAGCAGTCGAGAGGGAGGAGCAGCGGCCGGCAAAGAGGGGCCTGGGGAACCCGTCAGGTGCAGAACGGGCTAGTCTACTGCTCTAGTCAAAATCAACTGCAACGGCAGCACAAGTATCACATAGCACCCGTACATGCGAGTATGTAATGCCTGGATAAAAGCGTCTACCGGTACACAAAACCACTGTAATGGCTATTAGCAGCCCGCAGAGGAAGTAAGGACCCGATCCTCGGCCAAGCATACAGCAAGTTCTTACGGAACTGGCAGCGCGTTCTGTACGTGAGCATGCTATGTGCGTCATCGTCTACTGTAGACTATGTATGTACTTGCCTGAGGTTTACCCAGCGAAAGTTCTACTATGCAGCTGTGTTGTGTTCTCGAACTTCCATGATGCAGGGGTCGTGGCGTGGAATTGTTACAACATTCAAGAGCGAACATCGTAATCGGGTACGGTACTCTCCATATGGTCTTGAGGGGTAGCTGAGGCCCGGTCAGCCTTGGCCGCACTCTTGTGTCCCTCCTCGGAGAGTTTGTCTTCTTCTGGACACTCTGTTGTTTCACACGCCGGTCGATCCTGGTTATGCCTTCCGACCCCAAACTGGTGGTCGTCCTCATTCGTGTTCACAGGAGTGAAGAACCTAGGGAACAAAATGCCTTCGGGGGTAACATCGGGGAGCCAGATGGCGGAGGAGGCGATTTGCTCGAGCTTGAACATATTATTGGGTGAGCGCTGCTGGTGGCCACAACTGTTGTTGGCGGATGGACCATGTAGCTAGAATAGGCGGATGCTGTGTTTTGCAGACGGCGAGACACCATTGGTAGTGTTTAGCAGCACACACGTCATACTTGTAGTGCCCTTTGGAATCAACGATATCGGACAGGTGTATCGCCTCATCGTCGCCACAAAGAGTCTGGCGTGTGGCGCCCCCGTTTTTGGCGTGACGCCGATTTTCCCTGTGAAAACTGTTCGAAACCATTTCCAAGCACCAGAAAGAAACCCAGGCCTTGAGGATACTAATGCCGAGTCCTCCCCGGCCCTGTTCAACGTCTCTGACCAGATACACAGGGCATTTTGCGCAGACGATCATTGCTCACCCTGAAGACAAGGGCGTGATGATCAAGAGCGTTGGCGCCCTTTTGGTGACTGGTAAGAAGTCAGCGACTACAGCGCGCATCGATTGCAATGAACTGAATTGTCAAGCGCTCGTACTGCGCGTAGCACCACGCTTTTTGTGCGGTGGGAGTCAATTCGAAGAGGGGGTTTCTAGCGCACGTTGGTAGTTGTTCGAGATCCCTTTGTCGCGTCTTCGAAGCGTTAACCTCGAGTACAGGAGATGCGCTCTAGAGGACGGACAATTCCAGAAGTACAGAATGCTGGATTAACTCCGCGCGGATGCCTCCATACTGCGGTTGTTGCCTCGAGTCTAGGGTCAATTTCAGATCCTCACCAACAACACCTACTTCGAGGGCACGACATGGAGATCAGCGCGCTCACCGTGTCTTCGTCGGGTGCGCTTATAGCCACAGGTGACAACCTTAGTCAGTTTCCGACAGATGGGAAGCATCTCTGAAAGTGGTGCATTGCTTGGTTCCGTCAGCAACTTTCTTTGTGGATTGATGGACGCATGTTCGCTACGACACATATGCTGCGGGGGAAACCGTGCGAAAGAGTGTTTTTCAAAATTGCAACGTTTCTGGGACGGTTGTTGGGATGCAATTGGTCAAGGTCAGGAGCTACGGCGTTTTCTGGTAAAACCTCAGGAGAGAATTGGCGGGGTGAACTCGCGGTTTCGTTACAACAACACTCGCCTCACCGCCTGGCCCAATACGTCCAGCGTGAAAGGTCCACTTCCGTGACTCGTTAACGCGGTAAGGACATTGCCTCCATCCTGTAGCATCTCCAAACTTGTCCTCCATGTCTCCTCAACCGTCTGACGTATTTCATCATTTACTCCCTCCTCATTGCCTTGTGGGCGCTCACCGCTTGGCGTTCGAACCAGGCCAGCGCGGATCTACGAAAGTCAAGGGCTACCCCGCCCCGGTCTTCCTTTGGGACTACAAGACCCGAACGTCTTTGTTTGTGTATCAAGGTTTAACCGAGGTGAGAACTAGGAGGTTTGCCTTGAGTGGTCTAGTCGTTAGGTTGACAGTTCGAATGTAGGTGGGTAGTTTGTTTGGCGTGGCGTACCTGAGGGAAGGCAGTGCTGAATCGCTCTCGCGTTACCACAGGGAGGCATGCACGGCAGGGAACATCGTTGGGGTGGCCCTGGATGGGAGTTCTTCGCGTAGAGACAACCTCGTACGGTCGGTGGAAGCTGCTAGATACTGTCATGAACGGGATGGCGAAAACACCTATCGCACTTAGATACAAGCTGGTCTGACCAAGACGCAAATTTGAAGGTTGGAGCGGATTTCCCACGTGGTTTTTTGGAGTTAGAACCTGAAATTTGGACACGGCATCTACATGAGTACTATAAACACAAAGGCCACTGCGCTATTTGGATTTTTTTTTATTTCGTAAGTTAGACTGATATTAGTATTCATGGGAATATTTGCTATGCCAAAAAGTCGCATAAAAAAAGAAAAAGTCAAATGGCGCAGTGGCTTATTTGTTTGTTGTACTCATGGGGATGCCGTGTCGAAATTTCAGCTTCTAATTCGAAAAAACAGCGTAGGAATCGCGAGATCCTTACGTTGCCTCAGGTATCTCGCGTGTTGTATCGGATTCTTTAATAGGCCATAACTTCTGATGGAAGATGCCGTGAGCCTTGAAACTACCATCTTTGCTCTCGCGATGTTCCCAGGTACATGCACAGCAATTGTCAGCTTGATCTGAGAAGCTTTTTTTTATGCTGATTTCAGTACAGGACGTATCCCAACTATGCCGCCAATTGATAGTTATATACCTAAAATCAACTCAGATCCGAAAATTTCCGGCACCTGCGAATCCCCTATGGTCTTATACGAGCACCCGCCAAATTTGAAGTCTAAATTCGTTGAAACAGGAGAGTGGGACATGAAAGAACGAAAGTTAGCTTCTTGGTCAGACCAGCTTGTATATAATCCCTGTGTTTACGCATCAAGCTATCACGATGCAGATCCAGCTAAGCGGTAGTCGAAAGTCTCAAACGATCTCCACAATCCTCGCCCTGGCCATTATCGCGCGATACCATGCAGTGCGTTTGCCACCTTTCTTTCAGCCCAGACGCGAGGTTTCTGCTCGGCTGCGGCGGAGACGGACTGGTGTACGTGTGGGACACCAGCACGGGGGAGCTCGTGACAGGGAAGCAGTACGCGGAACCGTCCACGCTCGGGGAATGGACTGCGGTAAACTTAGCTGGGAGAAGGCCAGTCTATGAGGTGGGGCGGTTGGCCGTTGGGTGGGGGTCGGTTTTCGTACGTGCAGGAGGGATAATGGGGGCAACAACAAAGGCAGTGGAACCACAGACCCCCATTCCAATGATAGCGACGAGCTACGCGTCGAAATTGAAGTGTATCCACGATTACTGCGTGGAAATATCGTTGGGCAGACGAGCAGAGATTGTTCTCAAGTCGACGAATGGAGTGACCGAGAAAATAAGAACAAAATGACCTGATCAAACAAATGAAGCGGTAGGTTCTCGTCAACGAAACCGTTGATACAAATGCGGTCGATGCCGCGTTCGTTTGAGTTTAGGATCGAGCAGCAACGTATCGTGTGGCACAATCTGACCCCGTCCGGTGCCTTGTTCGCCGTGCAGTCTCAAAACAACGAAACTCCTGACCCGATACTGATTCGACGCGTGCCGGACAAGTATTTTTTCAGCAAGGCAGGCTCTTTTCGTGTGAACAACTCTTGTCGTTATCGCCTGTCCGAAACGTTGGCAGATTTGCTTGTGCACCGGGAATGACGTTCTTGCTTTGGAGCTGAGATTCGATCCATCTAGGCGCCAGTGGGCGATTTCAGGTAAGGGGGACAACACAGTATCCGCCCCCGTGTCCAATCACCGCAAAAACGCTCTTCCCGCCGGTGGTGTGGAAAGCAGCTGAGGTAGATGTTGGTTACTACTTTACTTTTCAATCATGGACTTCTTGTTCGGTGCAAAACCATCACGTTAGCGGCACTGAAGTCCTCAAGCAGTTCGAACACGGACGCCTGTGGGAAGGCCGCGGCTTATGTGGTGTGCCAACCCGTCCGTTGCTGCTGGTACTGTATCAGCGCCACGTCGAGGGGAGAATGAAGCACAGCTGCTAAATACGTATGACGGTCGTCTACATGTAGTACCCAAGAAAGCGGAGCCATGCGTAAAACGTTGGAATAGTCGATACTCGCACGAATCGTCACTTACGAATCTGTTCTGTGGTCATGAAATGTCAAACCACACACAGAACGACCCTTTGTTCTGGGATAGCGGGCCCACGATAGTTCGGATGTTGCGACACATGCGCAAAACCGCCAGCCAAGCGCCCGCCAAGCAGTACTCATGCACGTACCTGATCGCGCTGTCTGCTCTCTGTTCGCCCGTCGGCACGTTGGGCTTCTGTGTCCAGGAGGTCCGATGGCGACGCCAAGTTCAGGTCTTCGTCGGCAATATAAGTGCTCGGCTCTGCTTCCAGGAGGGGGGTTCTTGTTATGCGGCACCGATGTGGGCGACATGGTCGTGTTTGGGTGCGTACGAACGTCCGTAGACCGTGGTCATCGATGGTGAACGAGTGCTCTGTTCGGGGGGCAGCGGTTTTCGCGTCTATTAAGCTGGTTCTAGAAAACATGTTTCTATCGTGGTTGGTGTTCAGCGACGACGGCGGTCATCACACCTTCTTTGACGCCAATCTCAGGGCGATCTTCTTCCTACCGTTGTGGTACACCTTGACGGGGATTTTCTTGGGGTAGCGTCCGACTTTGGAACTTCATCCTAGATCACCCTTTTTCTTGTCTCTTTGTCTCCGCGAGCGATGGTCGCTTGTCTGGATGTCTATATTGTGTTCTGTTCGTTCCTGGGTCAGCTTGTGGCCACGGAAACTCGTGTCTTTGCATTGAATAGGTACCAATACACCGAGAAAGAGAGGGCGAACTTCCCAGAAAAGCCAAAACCGTTTCGGAAATGAAGGGACACGTACCCAATTCGGATAGAATATATTGCCGTCGGTATCACGACAGTCCCGTCCTCCAACGAAACATTCTCGTCCTACAAAACCTGTAGCCTGCGAGTGGCAAGACGGCGGAATGAACACGCCCCCCCTTCTCCTACCGTATCAATCCATTTGGTTTTCCCACGCAGGTTCCCACGCCTAAATGTCTGTCGTTTGCCTGGTTTGACCGCACGTGTTCGTTTCTTTTCTTTGGCCTCGTCGCGGTCAAAGGGTGAATGCCAAGGTGTTCCGCGCAAGCGTTCCTGTCTGCTCTGGCGGGATGCTCTCTGTCTGCACCGATCACAGCACTGGTGCGGTCTTCTGCGGTGGTGGCAACGGGATCATTCGAAAGGTCGGACCCACTTGCAAGAATTGCTGGCTGCCGTCAGAAGCTTCGCGAACATAAGACAAAAGCGCGGAAATTTTGACTTAACCCATCCTGCGTGCTTGGATTAGTCCAGGCGACGGCGACTTGACGTATTAAGCTACCCTCGAGGCGCTCTGAAATACTAGGAGGTACAGAAATCACGATGTCCAGCCGTGTGTCTGGAAATGGATAGACGGTACGGTTAAGGCAATTGTTTTTTGTCTTCACTTCAAATCAGCGCTCACAGCACGAGTGCCGTTTACTCCAACCCGTGGTCACACAGAAGAGCCCCTCTCTGCCCTCCCCTCCTGCGGTACTTTGCCTTCGATTTTTTATTGCCATTCATCGAATTCCACTCTTCAGGTGCCTTAAACGTCCACCAAAAGTCCTTAGCATTACAGCTGCTGTAGTGACATAGCGTCGGCACACTGAGCAGCTGTGGAACAAATCTCCGCCTCCCCTTTTTTCGCCTCTACCATCGTCATTAGGTCGTTGGTGCTGACATGGTATGGCAACAAGAGCTTGAAACGAGACTTGACGGCGGGGTCGTGTCATTGAGCATAGTTGCGGGCAGCGGCGAGCTGCTCGCAGGGACACAGGAAGGGTCCGTGTACAGGCTGCTGCTCGCCGACCTCTCCGCATCGAAGGTATGGAGCGCTATCCTGAAATGTCCCGTACCAATCGACCGAAAGGAATAATTCTTGAAACTTCCACTTATCAACGAATGTAAACAGGACCCCGATCGGTTCATTGACACTTCAGCGTGGTGTCTAATTGCTAGGCACCCCGCCTTCTTGGGGCACCTCAAAGAGTGCGTCAACGGGAAAAGCTATCGGCGACTACTAACGACCCTGGCAGCATCGGCACTTTTGCGCGCCCCCTCTGCTCGATCGGATGTTTGCTGCGTCAAGTGGAGCTGTGCATGTGTGAAATAATTTTCACACGGCTGCCAACGAAGGATTGGTTCTGCCTGACCGGTGCATCGTTCTCTAACATGCTGCTACACGCACACACCCAGCTCACGACTCATTGGCCTCCGTTGTTGTATTTAGTGACCTTCCGATATCGACCGGCCGTAGCGACTGCACCACCACACCGCCGTCGGAAAGCGACCGTTCCCCATAATGCTTGCAATATCTTGTACCCGGCCAACATGGAACAGGTGTCATCATCTCAAAGAAGCCCGGTGCTGTCTGTTGCGTGCGGTGATCGGTGCGACGCGTTCGCAACGTGTGCCCAAGACGGTGCGGTGCGAATCTGGGAACTGTGCGACTTTGGTGTTGTGGCTGAGGCCTCGGAACGTTCCCAGAGATCCGCCGGCAGCGCCCGCGCTCTGTTCCTCTGCTGGCTCGGGGACGAGGCTGTGGTGACGGGCTGGAGCGATTGCTCCGTAAGGTATGTTAGGCGCGCCCCGACCGGGGTATGAAATGTTTCTTCCCAAGCCGACACATTTTCAGTGTCTCCCGTCAAGAAATGGCTCCAGATGTCTAAACCGAGTTGCTCACCCACTCTAGGTGTTACGACGCGGCTACCGGTGCCTTGCGCTGGGCAATCCCAAAGGCCCACCGAGCTGCCGTGACGTGCTGTGCCGTGCGGTTTGACTCCTCCGCGTCCTTTTTGGTCACCGGCGCCGAGGACGGCAGTGTTAGTGTGTGGAGCCTCCGCACCAGGTGAGTCGGCGTTTTGGGGAGCCCCAGTCTATGAGCATTCCTGGTTGGCATTGCCAGGTCGATTTCGGAGCACTCCGGTGCAAGGCAACACACACCTACCTTTAGATCACCTGTCAGACGAAACATTTCAGGAATTTCGTCTTCGCGAGATCCACGTTCTTTTTGCTCGATATGTCGGCCGTGCCTGCGAATGGGTGTTCCTTTTCTGGTCCTACCTTTGGGTGTACGTGAGTAGTAGGGTCGACAGGGAAGACAATAAAAGGAACAAGGTCTGACACTCTGTCGTTGCAAAACACCGTGCACTGCACGCAAGGGTTCTATGGCACGCCTCTCTGTCGCGGACAACACCGCGGCACGTCGACGAGGGAAGGCATCAGACCGTCTCCCATACTGTGTACATGGTGCAATTTTCATATGCACACCATGTATGGGCAATAGTTGGGTGCATTTTGTTGTTTGAATCCTTAGGTAACAACACCCCGGTTTCTTCCTGGATCAGGAAGATAAGTCAAAGCTTGTCGGTGCAGTGTTGGAATATGAAGGTACGGCAACTAACGCCTTCATCAAAGATAGATTATCGCTGCGAGGAAAATATCTCTTCCCGATTGTACCCACTCTGATGCCTTGTGTCGTGCATTCGCGCAGAGAGCTTTTGTTGCGGTTCTCCGAACATCAGAAGGGGGTGACAACGGTGCTTGTGGATGTGGCTTCCCCGAATTTGGTGCACTCCGCGGGGACGGACTGCACGGTATTGACGTACGATCTACGCAAGGAGAAGCGCACCGTCGCACACATGTGAGTTGTGCAACCTATACAACGGTTTTCACACCTCACACTTCCATCTCCAAAGGCCGATATGTTACATTTGCTGGAGGGCAATCCTTGTCGGAGGTGGTGGGGGCGTGTGATTCGATTCCTGCCATTTCCGCCACAAAACAGGGCCCTCCTGAGCAACTAGCAGAGAATCGTCCCGCCACGGGAAGGATTCGGTAACGTCGCTGCAACGGCACGAAAGGTCGCATGAACTTTCACCGTGTTGAAAAAATAGTTGGCCGAAGAAGAGGTTGCGTTGTTTTCGTACGTCTCATGCTCTAACACGTTGGGTCGTCCACGTCGTGCCCACACAGGACGCGCGGCGGAGCCTTCCAGGGCATGACCCAACGCATCGACTCCGAAAACGAGCTCATCACTTGCGATATTCACGGTCGTCTTCTGACATGGGATTGTGACTACCCAGCCCCAGTGCAGGTACGGAAAATACCAAAATGCGTCAGGTAGGGGGGTCATGGGAAAGGAGCTGAATGACCACGGGTGGTGGAGAATGGGACCAGAGAAAGTTCCTGGTGATGTCCAACGATCAGGGAGGTTCACATGCACACTTGAGTCGCAACGGTCGCTGATAGGGACTCGCTCATTTTCCCGTTAATGCCTCGGTCCCTCGTAGTTGGGTATCCACCAGACGATGGGGCCCGTACGATGTACCCTTATCCACCGAGTGAGAGGAGTACTTCGCCCGCACCCGGCCCACCACATAACCGATAGATTGGGAGCTGACGGTTGACGAGCTTTTTGTATCCCTTCCACCTATTACCGCCCGACTCGTTTTTTGGTTGATCCATTTCGACTAGGCCATGCAAGACCCCTCAAAACAGCGCTTGAGCTGCGTAAGCGTGTCACCATCTGGGCGGTACATGGCACTCGGCGGTGACGATGAACTCGTCAAGGTAAGCGCAGTTTCTACCGTGCAAATTTGACTTCAGGCGCACGACACCTTGCCTTTGCCCAGTGGGACCAATCGAGGAGAGACGACCGCTTTGCCGAGAAGTTATGACAGCGCGAACAGCTCCCTTTGTAAGCTGTCGGCGACCGTGCGATGGGTACGCACGCTGAATATAGAGGCGTGTAGCTATTGGTGCCCTGCTGAGAGAAGCAGGTGACACTTCCATCAAGGCATGGGAAACATTTCGCTTCAGCGATCTAGGTTTCAATGATACCAAATGAAAAATTCCGAACACCAGACCTCTAACAAAGTCCACTCAAGACACGTCCACTCTCGGCCCTCGCCGCCACCTTTCGAAACCCCTGTTTGAGGGTGAAAAGCGTCACACTTCAGATTCTTAGCTTAACACATCCCCTCGTGAACTTCACCGCTAGGTCCTGGACCTGGCAACGAATTGCGAGACCGTGGCTTGCGGACGAGCTCATGCTGGTGCCATTACGAGCGTGCAGTGGACAAGGGATGAGCGACAGCTCATTTCGGCGGCAGAGGATTGCACCCTAGCCATCTGGAACTTTTTTGGGTCGCCTCCTCCGCCGTCTGGTTGTCCTGACGAACAACGCAAACCATAGGAACTCCTAGCGGGCATCCTCTGCTGCCGCAATACCGTGTGGAAAACAGCAATCACGTTTCTGACACAGAGGGACTGAGAAGCATCGACTCGTGCATTTCTCGCCCGAAGTGTCACAACGCAAACGCAGGCGGAGTCGATGCCATTTGGATATATTACTCAACTTGCTCGAGGGTAATTTGTGCCCGAAATAGGCTCAAGCCTGGCAAACAGAGCGAGAATTAAAAGTAGCCGTGTTCGTCATTGGTATCAAGTACTCTCGGCACAGTGCGGCTTCCAATCTTTCAGCGGGTGCAATACCACTATCGGTATCGGGTATGGAAGCTATCTCTTGTGAGATGGATCAGTAAGGCCTTGGAGGGTTTGAGCAGATATCACAACAACGTTTGGCGCGAAGATGGCGATAACGGCAACAAACTGAAAGAAAACAACAATACATGTTTGGTGCACGAGCTCGCGGCGTGAAGGCTGTACCAAAACTCACGTACCAAATTCAAATCAGTTGAGTCTAGTCCACCAGGTGCTAGCGGTTAGACCTCAATAGACCCCTTCGGGAGAAGTGCTACCGCGGCCGGGTAGTGTGGCTTGTCTTCCTTCCATGCTTTACGATCATGCAGTGCGTAGTACCCCTTCCAAAAATTGGGAAACGTTTACACAAGGTCATACCGAATGATGGAGGACATTAAGCGAGCGCCTCAAGTTTGCGGTGAAAACACCGCTGAATAACCATCAGCTATTTCCATCAACGGATTCGATTGAGAACAGTCTACCAGCTGCAACGAGAACAGAAGGAAATCGTTGAAGATGGTTCCTTCAATAATCGTGAAAACGATCGAACACGCGTGTTTCTAAAGTCCTGTGTTTATTACGGTTAGCAGAAATTGGAATATCCGGCACACGTCCGTGTCTGTGAACGCATGTTCGGCGCAAAACTGCCACGAACTGCAGTAGTGTGACAGCCATGCGAATACAGGTTCGTACGCCTTCACCCTGGTCAGTTGCATAGGCTACGTTGCTGCAGTCTTCACGCTTCGGGGGTTGACGTCCCGGGACACTGCGACGTACTTCCCTCGCACGTGTAGGGTTGAACACACTTGCAACGGTACGGGCTCGTTTTGGCCCACATATTCCCATTGAACGACTGTGGCCCACAGATAGAGCTATTCTTGGCGCGGTGAGCAGAACACCAGCTCCCAACAACGATAATGTTGTGGATATCGCTGACTTAGACCTCTCTTTTCCTTCTTGTCGATCCTTTGACTAGCACGTGGTAACGCTTGCCAAAATTTCGCCTTAGCCCATGGTTTAAAATCTCGAGACCTTCCTGCAGACGACCGGTCGCGAGAACTCCAGATGCGGCTAGAGGGGACATGGCGACCTCTCGTGGTCATGCGGTGGAGAAAAGGCATACGCCAATTTGCCCGATGTACAAGTACACAAACTTTGTGTGCTCATGCGTGACGAAGCATCCAAAATTCCTGCCGACAAAGCAGTGCCACCTGTTGGTCATGGATATGGTGTGTGTATGTGTGAAAAGGCAATTCTCGAAGCAACATTTGCACACTGTTGGCATATTTCAGTTGTCTTACAATTCTGTCTATAACTATCTTCGCCGTGCTGTATGTTGCTTACGGTGTAATCCTTCATTCGGCACTACTTCGAAGTACTGAGGAGCGACGGGCCGTTAAGTCATAGAGCAATTCCTCTGAGCAATGTGGTTAAAAATCTCGTGAGAAGTAATTGTTCCATCCCTACTTGCGGGCCATGAAGCCGAGTTTGCTATCCTTTCGAAATCACCATTCAAGGCAGCGTCACGTCGATCTATGAGCCCGAAACTTTGACCATCCGACCGGCTTCGAAGGCGAGACTATTGCAGGCATGGAGGAGAATTTGCAAACATCCCAATAGACTGCATATTGAAGGGTTTCATTCCTACATGTATGCATGGCTTTCCGGCATATGTGCTCCGCCTGTGGACTGAACATGTTTTCAGTTTGCAGGAACTCAATCTCCTGAAATAATGATCCTCGAAAAAAACGTCACTTGCGGGGCCTCTAGTCGAGGGGTCGGAACTCTGTCGTCGAGAATGAAGTTGTTCAACGTTCACGCGCATTCGGTATTGCTCGATGGCGCGAGATACCGGTAAGCTCGCATCCACACGAGTTTCTACGGGATTTGACAGTACCGAAGACGTGTGATCAGTACAACCACCTAATTGCTGGGGTAGACACCTTGAGGAGACCATGATGTGTCAGACCCCTGTTTTTCTTTGCTCGTTGCGCAAACGCCACGCACTCTACGAAGCTGTTCTCTGTTTAACCCGCGGCGTCCCCTCCAAAGATACCCGTATTCTTGCAGGATCTTGCGTGTTGCAAATGGGTGCGTGCTTGTGTGCTACACGTACTTACAGAGAGGGATAAAGGCCTTCAAAGGCAGCCTTCACCGCGTTCGCAATGTCCTTCTCCAAATTGTTGTCGCGAATGGCGTCCTGGGCAACCTGGATCGCAGCCTCCTGTTTGACCGCGGATTCGTATGGTTAGACAAGCGATACGCCATTATTCGCGCTAGTAGGGAATCAGCGACCCCATGCACCCTCCCTTGGAGTGGCTTCTCGGAGGTTGAACATGGACGCTTAGGGACTTCAACGGACAGCCGCAACTGTCTGCCGTTGGGAATGTTGTCAATGGCTGAAAAAGGGGGACAGCACACGCGCAGTGTATACATAAAATCGTACACAGTCGCAGTAATTGTATCGGTGTAGAACAACCCTTGACAAGTATGAGCAGCTATGCACATGTTCCACTACGTTCAATCGTTCCGACCGCTGCGCCATTGCCGAGGTGGGAAGCGGCGATTTGTCGGCATTGATCCCGTTTGAGTGTGTGTTGCGTGATGAGTTCGAGGGAGTGGTATGATGAGCAATTTGACCCGCCACACCGACCTGTGCACGTAGGCAATTTTACCCACCACACCGACCTGTGCACGTGGAAAGGGTTCAACGCAGTCTCATGTCGATCGGCATACGTCCACACCACCCCAATTTCTCGTCTGAAGAAAGCCTACCTTGAATAAAAAATCTATTGAAGTAAAAAAGTAGCTGTTTACGCTGTGCATAAGTTGTGATCGTCACCTGCATATCTGGTGCCATTGTGCTCGTCTTGATAACTGGCCTGGCAGACATGATACCCGAAGGATAGAGTAGCACCAGAGAACTGTGATCGTTTTTCAGAGACGAAGCAGGTTGCCGTCGCTTGCAGGCATCGCGCTATTCGCGCTGGTGTGCTAGGTACCGGCGGTTACAAACGCGAACCAGTGCGAACCGCAAGAGTACACAGTCAGCTGGTTCGGGGCCGTACGTATCTGCATCCACGGTGCCCCCTGGTTCTGGTTTTCTCTGTTTGGTGGAGTGCTCTGTGCTGTGTGCTGTGTGCTGCTTGAAGCAGACAGAGATCTCGCCTGCGTTCCGTGGGCTACTGAACTGGTAAAATAGCCATGGTGAGTTAGTATCGATATCTACAATAGAGGTGGTGGAACAACAGCAGTCCACAGTCTGTGCGCTGGGAAATTGATGTGGTAGGTGAGGCTGTACATGTTGACTTCAGCAGTTCGTCAAGTTCGTCAGACTTGGTCTCGTGGCATGGTTTGGTGGGATGCAACCACCTATCCTCTGTACACTTTCCGAACAGTGTTTGTTGTGCGAGGATTAATGAAAGATGTGGTTTAGCACTTGTTCGCAGTTGCTACGTATCATGGTCCATCATACCGTCACTTGTTGAGCATGTTCACAGTCCCGCGAAAAGTACAAGATGACGACGGGACTGCTGGAATCAGCTGGCTCGATGACGCAATATTCCAAGATCACTACAGCAGTAGCCCTATAACCGGCAGCTTGTGCAGCACGTTTTGAATGGCAAACTTGATGCGCGGTTTGTTGGTTTTCCTGCCGTATGCTTGGGTCCACAGTCTACAGCCCTTGAAACACCTGGAGGCTCATTTCTCATTTTCTCTTAGACCGATGTGTCCCTTTCAGTAGCACAGGACCACAGTAGAACTCGGACTGCACGCTTGGTATTTTGATCAAGTTCTCAAGGTTTTCTCTCAACATCTTAAACCCCCAGATTCATTCCGAAGAAGTGATTGTCGGGTGTTTCAGTATGGAGCACGGTGTTACGACAGGGTACGTCACCGGCGAGAGTTCCTCTCCAGAGCACGCCGTCATTTTCAAATGCGAAACGTGTTCAGCAGCTCCTTCCCTCAAGAACACTGGGAATTTGGCGCCTTTGACCGCTATCCGCAAATACACCACTACGACCCCCCGCCGAGATCGAACAACAACGGTGTTGCATGATGATTGTTTTTCTCTTCAGGAGCTGTCAGGCGTTGTTCTTGGCGCCGCCGCCCTGGTACACCTTCCTACGGTATTGGCATTCAGCCTGCCCTTGTCACCGTCTGGCCGAGACTGGAACGACTACACAGCGCAGCATGTGGGGAAGTGGCGCGGCTTGTGGACCACATATGATTCTGCTGGCGTGGAACGTGGAGATCCTGACCGCATGGACACCACGATCTCGCTGTCGGCCGATGGGAAAACCGTAGCACATGTCAACACCCTGTGAGTCAGGCCCTTCACGGGAGATGGATTTGCGGCGAGATTTGTGTTCGTCAAACCCTTGTGGAACGTGAGGCTTATTGCACGAACGAAAACGTCCCATCAGTTTTACAGCTGTACTACAGTAGATAGATTGAACGGGGTAGTGAGCCGCGAGGTAGCAGACTCAATACCTTGCAGTAATCTAAATTGCGATGCTTTTGACGTGCGGATGCCCACGCACAACAGCGTAGGTACGTACGTGCACCAGCGACGGGCATGAAACAGGTGTGAATGCTTGTATGCGCTCGCACCCGCCCTCTAATTTTCCACATGTACATGAGAGAGATGTTATTTGTAGTATATATTCCGTTGATGCCACACACCACGAAGAACCAAAAGATAAAGTCTCTCCGCCGTTCGCGGACGCCAACATGCACATCGGGAAGAGGCATGCGTTCTGCATTGCGGCCAGCGTATCCCATATCACACCACCGAAGAGCACCAGCAGCAACCTAGACATAGGATAGTGACAGAGTTGCAGGCTCACAGCTTACCCGCCACATTCGATCGTCTCAAAGCTGCCGACTTTCCCGCGTAGAGAAGCAAGCAGTCTACATGACTACCACATGCACTTTGCATGCATCACAAAAAGCCGTTGATTGATGGGCATGAAATTTGCGCGAGAGACCAAGAGACCAAGCAGCAGCAACAGCACGCAGGGTAGAATGCTTTGCGAAAATGGTCAGTAGCGCGGCGCAAGTGTTCAACCTGAAACGATCCCGTGCAACCATCCTGAGAACGCACACCTCACGCCCTCCAGTTTTTTTCGATCGGTGGTAGTTGTGATCTCGACTTGAGAAGATGTGTATATGTTACGTGTGTGTGTGTGTGACATCTCATCACTCTGCCGTTTGAGCCGTCAGATGAACCCACTCAACATCAATAAACACCCGCCAGGTTACACATGACGCATGACTATGCCCACGACGAGCAGGTGGTATTGGCCCGGCCCCTCCTGGTATTCATAGCTGGCCTCAGATTTGCGTCCCAGCGGTGATGATGCGTGTTTTGCTTGTGTTGCATCTCTGTTTCTTCTCCTGCGGGTTTGAAACGCAAGCGCGTGTGCGATCTCCGATATTCATGTGCGTCCGTTACCTCACAACTCCAGCGGTTGGGGAGAGGTATCCCCTACGAATTTCGGACGCAGATGCCTATGTAGCATGGCCATTTGTTGTCGGAGCACAAGCAAACCGGTGTGACGAGGAGTGCTCTATTCTTCTCCCTCCTCAGAATCCAACAGATTGCCAATCAGCGCTCTGTTATGGTTCTTGGCTGGTCGAAAAGGAGCATTATTTAGTCCTCCCGGCAATCAAGTTTGGAACCCCTGCATCGTGTTGGAACAGGCTGGTATTTGAAGATTTTTTTTCCCTCCTGGGCTGAAGGGAAAACGGCCACGCTTCGCGCTCTGGGGCTCACTACAAGTGTATTTCTAAGGACCGTACTGCTATTGGTAGGTGTTGCTGTAGTCATGTGTATTTCCGAATAGAAGCGTACCTAGAATTGCACCTATGTTTCTGCTGGTAACTCGGACTTTTGTGTCATGCGGCAGGTTCGTGGGTTCGGTGGGGTCTGACTGTTCCACATGCCACGACAGTGTGGAAACCCGAGATATTCCAGCCGGGCAGTATACCACGGAGACGTTTCGGCACCGAGCTTCTTCCGGCTGCTATTTGTTTGGACCGGGTGTCACTAGAGGAGGGGACATGACGACTGAGTTGGGGTTCAGGTTGGACGAGGACCGACGGGTTAGGGTACTCGTTTCTCACCGACCACAGGCCAACGGGGTCGAACCACCCCTACAGCTCGCGCTGCAGCGAATAGTCGTTGTTCGAGAAACTCTTGCAGCACAACGGCAGACTCCGCCTTCGGCTTCTTCGTGCTGGTCTTTTGATCGACCGAGCTGGCTTGGCCTTTGGCGTGGCCACGAGATGGTCCTCGATGGCGGTGGTGGCGATGCGGACGATGGTTTGTCGTGGAAAGAGAAAGCGCTGCCTCCGACACATCTGCGTAGGTGCCGCTGCTCAGGTGCAGCAATTGAAGACGATGACTCGCATGCCTCTTTCGAGCTGGATGGTGGAATTCTCCTCGAGGCGCCGAAAATAGTGGATGCGGGGAAGCCGGCGGAGTTGTCAGTACGTTGCGCGATTGGCCGAAAGAGCAAAGCTGCAACACCGAACCGTATTGTACAAGCAAAGGTACGGTTGGAAGCCCTTAGCAGAGTTGTTGAAACCGTACGGTCGGCAGCGGGAGAAAACGTACGAGTCGCTCCCCCTAAGCTCCTTCAACTTTCTGTTCATAGCTTGACACCGGTAGAGTCTGCAGGGCTAAAATGATCTCGGCTGCTTGGTCTAGAATTGGTGGATTGGTGGTGCCGCAAGCCATACCCTGACATTTGTTTTGCGTCACACGTGGTACACACGCGTGTTGTTTAGGAAGACAACGGTCGACCAGAAAATGTTTTGCTGCTTCCTTGCCGCATAAAACTACTGTAGCTCAACGTTGAACACCTCCCTCGCCACAACGAAGTATTGGTGTGGGAGGGTTGTCTTTTTGGTGTCGTGGGGTGAAGGAAGCCGCGTTGAGCAAGCAGAGGGTATGTAAGCGTAGGAAACGTCGGTCGATGTGGCGGAACAGATTAGGCAGGTGGCTTGAATAGCAAGTTGTAGGCAAAATTCTGTAGGGACAAGCAAGACGCGAGAACCCACGCATCAGGTTGCGAACGCCCAATCCACTCAACCAATTGTGAAGCAAGATTGCGAAACCGCGTAAGAAACCACGAGCCCGAACAAACACAACCAAGCGCTAAGAAACACGGGTGGGTTATCAATACTTCGAGTACCTGTCAATGAAGGCTGGCAGGCGAAATGGTAAATCCCCCGTAGGCCACTTACGTTATTCAGAATTCCTGCCACCAAACCAAGCCCTCTGTCGGACTTGTTGTTTCGGTGCACTATCTTTCGCGAGCGGATGTGTGTGTGCGTGTGCGTTGGTGTTTGTGCTCGTGGTGTCGTGATTCTGTTGCTGCGGTACAAGCGACATGTTGGCCCATATATCGGATTCATCGCACGCGGTGTGTGTATAGTAGGGAAATCTTGTCAACCCTGTGTGAATATGAACTTGAGGACGACTACTTCAACAACGACGACCGCACATTATGTCAAGACCCGGTATTACAAGAGCAATGTGGATTGCAGCCCCGAAATCATGGGACGAACGAACAAAACGACAGTTCGGTGGAATACCCCCAAAACAGCTCACGACTAACCCTATAAACCACGAGTCAAAATATTCCTCAAAATTGGGCCGGAGTGATGGGTTGTCGAAATAGCAACGAGCTTCAACAGCCCAACCCCCCACACACCCCGTCGGCTTGTCCATACGATAACTCTACCTGCCGAAGTGACCCAGTTAGCCCGTGCGCTACAAAGACCTATCGCACAGCGCACAAATGGTATCAAAACTACGTCGAAGACCGCATTTGGATCTTGACACCAACACACATTTCAAATCGCCATAGATCTCGAAAATCCCTTGAATCATGGCATGCACCGAAGTCAGACTGCCTAAAAAAGTCAACGATCGACCGAAGCACATTCTAATAGTTCGAATAGCAATACTTCTAATCTTAACAAGAACCAGCACACACTCTCGCTTCGAAAGAAACGCTCTCAATACCATCACGCAACCAATCGCGTCCACGTCTCCGTGAAAGATGTCGGGTTGAAACACTGTTTGAGCACAAAATCGGTCAAATTTTCCATTTTTCCACGCCCATGTCGCGATGTGACTATGCCAAAAAGCCAGGGAAAAGGCCATGGGGAGTGAAAATGGGAAGAAAAGCACATGTACCAATGGCATCCTGGTGGGAGCAATACAAGATACCCTTGTTGGATGGGACCTCACTATTTCGACCATATATTAATCTAGTCGCGCACACACGTTTGTGGCGGATGCTGTCGTGGCGGATTAGCAGAAGCAGGTACCAAAGCAGCCTACCAGCCGCGCCAGGCTTGCTTTAGTACACAGAGCAAGAAACTGACTCGGGGCCATGCTACGCAAGTTTATGGATGCTTCACGTGTTCAGGGTTCTCTTGCAGAGGCCCTGCGACCATCACTAAGCGATTGACGCACCCCGGCTCTGTAGGCTACACCTTAGCACTCCAAGGTAGGAAGACCGGCGGTGCGCCGATCGAAGGTGCTCAGTTCAATGTCGATTCCGTCGTCGGAGTGGATATTTTTGATGCAGACTCCTTGGGGAAGGGTATTTCCTTTCCACCGGGTGTTCTGAGCGTCGAAGAATTCCAGCTCCGACGTACCGGTGAACACGTTATCTTCACGGGTTCGTTAATGCAGAACATTTATCGGCAGATGGACAAACAGGGAAAAACAAAAGTAAATGGTTGAACCACTACATTTCACTGTTCCAACGGTACGGCGATGCTTGCGCCACATGCGTGTAAAGTGCGTGTTGAGAGTTTTCTCAGTCGTTTTCGTGAAACTACGCATTCTCACCGGTGATCACTGTGTCATCCCCCTCCTTGATCTTAACGCCTTTAGTTACGTTCAAGATCCTGTTGTTCTCGAACAAGTTATCGCTAGGGCGTCCGTCGCTGACCCCGTCGGTCGGTTCGTCAGACCCCTGGTACGTGTACAGGCCCTCTAACCCAAGCAGGACACAATCGAACGCAGCGAGACAGCAAAAAGAACGAGGGCGGGAAGGTCGTGGTAAGGTCGGCCGAGGTGTGTGTCGAAGGGAATGAAAAGAGATGCGGACATGCCGTGGTAATTCGGGCTTGCCCTATGTCCCATGCATATCAAAGCATGCCATCTGCTGCTGCACTTGACATTCAACTTCCAAGGACACTAGCTCAACGAGCGAAAAGTATTCGGTGTTTCGCTTGGGAATTTAGGCATGGAGGTTTCGGGTGCTCCTCGGTCATTATTGTATATCTGTCCTGTACCTTGTCATTGATCAATTGAACCTTGAATCAGCCCTACAATGCCGAAGCGATATTTGCGCTCACGTGTCGATACGTCTTCGAAGAGGTTCTCGTGCACGTGGTTTTCGGATGAGCCCAAGCTCAAGCGGATGCCGAACTTAACACTGGAGAACCTGTTGTTGTAGATGTCCGCGTTCATCGATTCCAGCATTGCCATGCCTGCGTCCTGCATGTCGTGGACCACGTTATCTGCCAAATAACCGTCACGAAGGCAATTTTAAAGTAACGTGCTTGTTGGCGCGGTGGACGAGAGTATGAGTACGGGGTTACCAGCGCACAAGCGCATATCTACCCGGGCCGCAACCCTATCGACCACCACCAGCGTCAACGCCATACCTTGTTGGCTCCATGTTTTGTGCGCTGGGATATTGGTCGGATCCTTCCGCGTATGGTACTCGATAGCTGAGGTCTACAGCAGGCCTGCACGTCTTGTTTTGTCCAAGGTAGCCTCAGGTCGAGTCTACTGTTCTTGACTGCGGCAGGATGTACTCATGCAGGGAATAATTCCCTGGGCATGTGGCTGTGTGTCAACATGCTACAGTACAAATACAGCAAGTGGTGCCCCCTAGCCGAGTGATTGAAGGTTGACTCGGTATTGGGATCGCAAATCAACACTGATACTGTACAAGGCTTGAGTTCTGATGTTTTAGTGAGGATCGGTCAGGGGAAAAGAGACCTCCTCACCATGAACAATGGCATAGTCCGAGCTGCGGTGGAGGAAAATCCCGGCAGCGAAAGGACCACCGTCGTAGACTTCGTTGTTGTAGATCTGGACGTTGTTGCAGCGTTTCGAAGCGATGATACCTGTAGCGACGTGACCATATTGTCGCAGAAAAAAGGTTAACGCCGGTGAATACCAAAAGCGGGCAAGACGAAGGGCCAAAATGTTGCTGAGTGCCCAATAACAAACTAGGGGTGCGCAGCTAGACGTAGGAGCCGGATTCAAGTGTGTGCGTACGTTTTGATTCTTCCCATCTATGTACTCCAGGCGCGCCGGTGTACTCCTTTTGATTGGGGATTAATGCCGTGGTCACTAAGGTGGAAAGTAAGCATGGGACAATATTTTTCTCTTTCTTTCCTGGTGCAACCCTTGTCTTGAGCTGTTAACACGAGGCACAGGTTCTGTAGTCCCTTTCCTCCCTAACTGTGTTGATTCACTCTTCCCCTAAGAATTCCGAACACGATTGTCACTCCGGGGGGATCTGAACCTGACCGGCATTTCGAACAAAGATTAACAAATGAAATACTGGGTTCCGAAAAAAGGTTGAGCGCGAAGGCCCCATTTTGTGAGGCGTTTGATTCCTCGACTGTCGCCAGGAGAATGTTACGACCTCCATGTTGTCGTCAGAACTCTGTCACAAACCCATCTCTTGAGTTTACCTACACTCAATACGTCTCTCGGAGCTCACCATGATTGACGTTGTTGTACACCTCGTTGTGGGAGACTATATAGTGGTAAGAGCGAACAGCCGACGCGAGAGGGGGGAGCATATACCTATGTGAGTTACCTGTTCGGGCATGGCACTCATCACGCATACGTATGCATATGCGACATGAAATGGTGCGGAAATCTCGCCGAATGCTATTCAGAAAGACGCGCGCCTGGAATTTAAAATCACTGCGCCAAAATTCCATGCCTTACTATTCAGAAGCTGTGCCAAATGCACAAGCCTAGAAGTCGATAAGTAAACTCGGGGTTGTCATTTCGCAAGGATTCGATGCCCCAATACGAAGTGAAGGTTCTCCTCATGAATACCACTTACTCGTGAGGTAGTCGGAGTCATCGTGCGGGTCGAAGCCTGATCGTGTTGCGAGGGTGAGAGCGACCACGGTGCAAATAGGCGGATAAACGAAGCCAAGGAGAGGAGCGTTTAGGAGAAAGATTTGCCTTAGGATATGCCCCGCGTGGATACCACACATTGAAGCACACCAAAACAATGTGGCAACAGTCCAGGATATTTCTGGGCACAAACGTCTCCTCCACACATGATCACTATTATTGCCACTATATTAGTGAATACTACAGAAAGGCGTGAAGTGGGTGCTATCTGCGGTTGGTTGTTCCGCGGATATCATTCTGTAGACCCCAAGACCAAAATGACCGCTGAGACCGCTAAGGCCCAGTCGAGGGTGCAGGCAATTCACTCACCATACTGGTGATTGTCGTGCATCTGGTTGTTGTGCCACACCCCACCCTGGTGCCCGTATGAGTACTGGCCGTAGTAGTTGTGGTGGATGTCGGAGCCTATCAGATTTCCATACACGTTCGTTGTGTCGAAAACGTCCGGGTTGGAGAGATCCTTGCAGAACCCGCGAACCTGCCCAGAGCCATGAATATCATTCAGGGAAGCAAAAAGTTGGCGTTCCCTCTACCAGAAACACAGGCCTCAACGAAAAGCCGCAAGACCCAGGCCCCGCCGTTTCGTGGGCCCCCGCCGAGAGAAGACCAAAACTACAGAAGTACTTAGATACCGCACAGCACGCATTGTCTGTGTGGGGTGCCCAAGGATGAATGAAGCATCCAGATTGCAAAGTGAACGACTCTTGTAATGCCTTCAACAAGAAAGACATGCGCTAATCGGAGGGGGGGCGGGTTTCCACGCCACTCGAATGCGTCGTCTAGCGGTAGCAAACGGGTGGAGTCAAGCGTTCAAAATTACGAGGGGGAGAGAGGTGGGCAACGCTTTTGCCCCACTGCGCACCTTCCAGGTGAGGCCGTACGACTCCGAATCGAAATATCCCAAGTAGCCGATCTCCGAGTTTATGATGTCCATGCGGCACTCTCCCATCTCATTCTGGGCCTGGCCTACGCATACCTCGCCGGTCAGCTTCTCCGACACACAGTTCAAGAAGGACCGTCCGCCAACGTAAGTCGCCTGTGGCGTCTTGTTGGGCGTGTCCCATGACGTGACGATTGTGCTTTCAAAGTACATGCTCCCGCCATGAGCGCGCACCTGAAAATTGCGCACACACGAACAATGGGTTGGGTGGAAAGTAGGAGCGAAATCAAGAATTCGATGACCATGTATATACGCAATACTGTGGTTGCCATTTGCTGGATATTGCATACATAACAAGTTTCTGGCCTACCTCATGGAAGTCGGTAGGTCCAGTGGACTGGATGCGGAGCTCATCACAGTCTCCCCCGATGCTTGAACCGCGGCAGTAGAAAACAGCGCCTCCAGTAATGTGTAGCTCGGCGGTAAGAAGCCACTTGTTTGACAAGACCTTGGGGTTGAGCACAGTATTGTAGCTGTCGTCGAGGTTAAAGATGGGCCCCTTTGCACTGCCGTCGGACTCAAGACGGAAATTGTAGAGGTCGGTGATTGTGAAGCACCCTTCTCCCTCGGCGTCTGTGTTTTAAAACCAATTGGCGGAGAGCAAAATAATAGGAAGGTATCGTACGGGGCTGTCTATGGGTTGAGCGTTATTCATCGTGTATCGTGAATAATGTACCGAGACTATAATAGGCGTGCACGAAAGAAGAGTAACCTTGCAGGCATTGCCCTACTATCGGTAGACAGGGAGATGGGGAATTTGGGGCCGCTCCGATGGAGGCTGGTGAGTCGTGAAACTCTCCAATAACTTACATAGGCGACCGTTGACGCCGGTGGAGGCAGCGTAGCGGAATGGTGGTGGGCCGGTGCTGGCGGCGCATGTGGTTGGGATGGTCATGAGTGGAGTGGGTGACAGAGTGGTAGGTATATCTCCACCTGTGGCACACATGGGAACGAGACAGACCGGAAGAGAATAGAAATTAGTTCAAGAGGTGCACTGCAACTTCGATCTCAGACTTCGTCGGCAGCACGAGACTATGGCGAAACAGGAAGATGGCAGTTCTTGACCAACACTACTATTTACTGCTTCTGTAGCGCCTCGAACCACTGCTGAACAGGGACTTTGCTATGTGTTCCGAGTGTAGCATTGGATGCTGGTACAGCTATCCACCAGGAGAGGCTGATTCCCCCCCTCCAAGTATCTACAGACGCTGGGAACGAACAGACATCGCCTGCAGCCAGCAGCTTGTTTGTCGAACAAAGCGAAAGGGTCGGTGCTCGATCTACGATATGTTGTCTACATACAGTACATGATTTTAGGCTTAGGGTAATTTTGGATGTTTTCAGACACGAATAGCACTGAATTTCTAATGGTAAAAAAATGTTTCTTCACAAGAAATCTGCACGCGCTTAGGGTATTCTCTCGCATTTTTTCAACTCGGGACGGCCTGTAGGACAATCAATCAAGGTGTTGAGAATCCAAATTTGATGGTAGCTGTTATGTTTTGACTGCTGCAGTCTGTTACTATAGCACGCGACGAATCCCCCCCCATTGTCGAGGCATGACTAAAACGTTCCGAACTCCGACAACCGGCCGTATCCTACGGTACGTGTGGGTACAGTTGTTCAGTGTCAAATCTTGAAAGTTCAATAGGTAGCCACACCTGGTGTGTTGCCTGGTGTGGTCGCCCGGCGTCCGACATGGGACAGATGTAGATGCAAGTGCAGCCACCGCGCGAGCAAGCCCGTGGCGCAGTGACATAGGGAAACGGCGACGACCGGAAAGGCAGGTCAAAAATTGCCGACAACGTTAGTTACAGTACAGTAGTACCCAGCTGTGCGAAAACCCTTCGACAAGTTCCTGGTGTGCAACCAACACAGAGAAAAAACGATTACCACTTGGTAATTACTATGAAGCCCAGGAATACGGCTGGCGTATGAGTCTCACACACACGTGTACCTACTTGTGCGCGCTTGGTTGGTCGTTTCCTTCTGTGTTGGTTAATCGTGCTGAATTTATGGACGAGATACCTGCGTCGATGGGTGGTAGTGCGGTCACCGGTGCAGGCGTGGCGACCGGTGCAGGCGAGGTCGTGTCTGAAATGCAAAGGCCGATATAGACGGACGGCAAGAGATGAGGTACGTTAGACATTACATGCGGTTAGCTTATGCGCGTCAAACACAGCGTTACGGTAGATGTACTTTCGAATTTTGGAAATATTTTGTACTGTAACGTATTGTGTAGTGTAGTGATAAATCAAGGCAACGAGTGTCGTCGGCGTTGCCTGTCTTTAGACGACTTTTCTTCGCGGGTTGGTTTTGCACTTGGCTGCTTGTAGCATGTTCCCAGGTGATCACAACCCGACGGCGGACGGAAACGAAAAAAGCGACAGGCCGGGCGGTGTAGTGGTGAAGAAATTCGCAGATCACAGTTCATTATTCTATGAACAATACTACTAATAGTCGTCCCGGTCGCTGCTCAGTCAGGCAACCACAGTACCTTCAGACCGTGACCATAGGCCAAGCACCCCTAAAAAGCGAAGATGCCGAAAAAAATATCCCACTTGCGCAAGAAAGAATATACCCAAAAACATACGGCCGGCTCGACTCACCGGTCACGTCATCCATGATGCAAGGCGCAGAAAGGTTCTCCGAGCACAGGGCTCCGTTCTTGCTGATATAGTTTCTGCAGCAGTCGGCGGCTCCGAGGCCTTTTCCTCTCCTTCTACACTCGCTCCCGCCGCACGTACCGCAGTCAACATGGCAGCAGATGTTCTCTGATTGTACCCCGACAAAGCCGTTGCTGCACTTCGCGTCGTCGTCGTCAGCCTCCGAGGTTTCTTGAATGAAACATACGGCCGGGATGATGAATTATGGGATATATTTGTTGATAATTGTTTTTCTTTTCATAGGGAAAGTGGCGAAGCGTATGCTGTACCTCGACAGCGACAACGATAGCGAGGTGCAAATTGCTCGAAACCCACATCAGGTAGTTCGAAATAATCGTCGTAGTGAAGTCCAATCTTCTAATATAACCATGCAAGTGTCCTGCAATTCACTCCACGACCTCGTCGCAACAAAGCGGGAGTTGTGATGGCACAACAATGACAACAAAGGCGAGATTTGTTTCAATTCCAGTTGTTTCCTTCATCTCCTTATATGTACACCCCCACGCATTTATAGAGCATTTTTCAGGATTCTCAAGCTCACGCCTTTCTTCAATAGGAAGCAACAAACCTAGGGGTATTTCACGTGGATAAATATAGTGTACTTGACGGTACAGGCGTGTTGAGTGGTGCATCCACCCCGTCTGTGGCGGCCGAGAGAAACCGTGGCAATTGTGAGAGAAATAACAGGGAAACGTCGGCGTAGGCGCGAGGAGATGCATGTCGTGTGTTGAGGCTTTCAGGGCAGAGCGGTCTAGTGGCGCATGCCATTCGTCCCCACAAACGCAGGGGGCTACACTACATGTTTAAGGATTTTGTACAGAGCTCAGACGGGAGAGCACTTGGTCTGATCCTGAAGGCCACCTTAAGGAATACGGTGTGTTGCGAGAGCTGGTACACCAGGTTGTTCGGGGAAGGTTATGAAATCGGGTGCACCTTCAGAATTTTTAGAAAGGGCCCACGAACGTCTGGACATTACACCAGGGGCTTCACGCAATGACCGCCGAAATACGAAAAAAAAAAAAACACACACACACACACACACGTGGTCTTGGCAAAGGCACCAATCGACTCATCGTTGCTATCGCCAACCACTTGGCGCACGAAGCTTTTTGCCGGGGGAATTTTGACGACGATAGAGCCTTAGTTAGCCTGAAAGCTTTTCATGCTAACAGGATTCGGAGACGGTTTAGCTTCGAGCTAGCTCGTTTTCTGTCGATGAGAACTCGCGATGTGTTCAAACGTCATGGACTACTGATCGACCAACTTCCGCCAAGACCAATCGGTTGGGATCTCTGCGACAACGATAGTAACGAGAGTAATTCTTTTGGGAGTGACGGAGACGAAGGAAAGGGAAAGGGAAGAAAGGAGGACGAAGACGACGATAAGGGAGGAAAACATAGAGAAGTGGAAGAGAGCAAAGGGTTTGAGCCAGATGACCTTCCCCAAAACAAGAAACGTAGGGCTGGGGGAGGGCTGCCCAGAGGTTCTTGTCAAAATGAGGATCAGAATTATTGTAGCGAAAACAAGGAGGATAATGGTGAAAGTACTCCTAAACGAACTAGAGTACAAGGAAATAGCCTTGGTAGACGCGTCCAGTTTTCTTCTGTTGCTGCTGTTTCTGTCTTTGATCCGAAGGATAGTTTAGCCTCCCCCATGCTGCCCCCTCACGGGGTCCCAGTTCATGGCAGATAGAAGTGTTTTGTGTTTTCAACCGCACTAAGACTGACGTCTTTTCATTGGTCAGCCGGTTAGCGCGGTCGATGCTAATAATAAAAACATACACAATTACGACACACGACGATTTATTCAGCCCGTTTTCAGCGCACAACGTGAAGGGTTCAGGCTGTATATGCATACGAAAGGAGCACTTTGGAGAAGGGAACGACTTGAAGCCTGTACCAACTACTGTGTGTGTCACAGCGAGCATACGTTGCTGCTGCCGGGGGACATTGTCATTGGGTCACCGCTTCTACGTGTAGACTACATTCCTCGAGGAATGTGTGCTATTGATGATTGGTCTACGGTGAAAGCACGAACGGATTACCCCTGTTATGTGTCAAGTTTAGCTTAGACATATGTACTGCTGAGGCGATTACACCGGCCCGACTCACCGTCCACGTCATCAATGATGCAAGGCGCAGAAGCGTTCTCCGAGCACAGGGCTCCGTTCTTGCTGATATAGTTTCTGCAGCAGTCGGCGGCTCCGAGGCCTTTTCCTCTGTGTCGACAATCGCTCCCGCCGCACGTGCCGCAGTCGACGTTGCAGCAGATTCCATCAGTTTCTACCCCGATGAGGCCGTTGCTGCACGTGTTTTTGGCTACTCGTTCGTCCACAAGAAAAGTGCATATTGCAGGGATGGGTGTCGTTCTTTTGTTCACACAGACAGTTGCAATACCTTCGTCTAATCATCACACACATGCTTTCGTGTCGAGGCAACGACCCCGACACGATAAAAGTGCGAAGAAGGAGTACTGTTCGTGTCTATGGGAAACGATAACAGTCCGACCCCAGGCTAGTTGCTCCATGCATAACCAATCTAGGATTGTCTTCCATACATACTCTTTAGGTCAGCTTCATCATCACCCACCTAACGAACCGGACTGTCGAATCTACTACGACTGGATAAAGGGAGGCTGGGAAAAAACGGTTGTGGCAAGGCAAGGACAACTGGTTTTTCGAGGAACGATTCGCCAGAGTAAGACAAAGCTTGGTTGAATCATCACATGGAAACAACGAGTCCCTCGACTACGGGGTATTCATCGAATCGGACGTGCAGAAGAATGATTTTTGCACCCGATGACATCGTACAAGTATGGATATGTTAGACAGAAACATTACTGCACGAGAGACGAAAGGACAGACAAAGAGGCTGACGAAAATATCCACCTACAAGCGAGATGCCGGTGGGCACGTTGAGTCAAAATATTGTCGGAAGAACAGCGTCTGCATTCTGTGTTGTCTACAGCATCCGCATGAATATATGTTTTCACGCAGCACCTACCTCCGACCAACCCGATCGAAAGCAGCACCGATCCAAACAGTTTAAAGAAACGCATATTGCGCTCGGAGAGTCACAGGACGTGGGCGGACCCTAAGAGCTCTGCTGACACCTGCAGAAGGAAGAGGAACAAAGGTCAAGGCATGGGCCCGCCGGGTGGGTGTGCACGCTTGTTCGAATATTTCAGATATGTATCAAAAATCGGATATCCCGCCCCTCTTCACCAATACATGTTTAGGGGGATCCCCAAGCACCGTGAGGTCCCCACCCACTGCGAATTGGGGCTTTCTTTCAAACTGTGTGTCAGGGTATGCTATATACAGTCTTGTCTGCATAGCAGTGCTCGTTGTACTTCGGGAAAACCTCAGCAAAGAGAAATGAAGTGAAACCTCGCAAAGACAGAGCTTGGTGCCCCCGAAGGCACGACGAATGTAGGCATAGGGGTTAATTACGCACAACATCAACTGCACCAAACGAGGACTCGTCGACACCGATCGCCCTTCTACCATTTTGATATTCGGAGAATGATATTTTCATACGTTTCTTCGTACATGTAGTTAATACTCGGAACGAAGAAACCTGTAGACGATCACGGTTGTTTTGGCCACCGCTGGCGAGATCCTCTTGTCTTGGGAGCGAGGGTGATGCCGCCTTGTCCATTACAAGACATTGTCATTGAGCGTATTCACACAAGCGAGCTCCGCGACATCCCTCATACGACTAGGTACAGACGTATTTGTGAATCCTTGCCCAGAATTTAATTGTTCTGACATATGACCAGGCCCTGATTCTCTTTGGGCTGTCGGGCCTGTCGCGTCCAACATCCCGGCAGAAGACGTCAGCTTCAAATACAAACGAAGAATATCAGCTCACCGAGCAGAAACATGTAGTTTCCAGCAATCAAGCCATGTCATGACGGTGTCAGCAGAGGTGCAGAGCAGTGCACACCGTACAGACCGCCGAGCCTCAGGTACGGATGTTGCCACGAACATATAAACAAGCCGCGAACATATATACAGGCCGCGCACATACATACAGCTGCGTCCATCAACATGCACGGCATGCGAGCTTTCACCCGAGAAAAAAACCAGACCAACTCTTCTTTGATCACCCCAAGCATAAGGCAACAACAGCGATATGACACCACAGCTGGCCGGTTCCGGTCATCAGGACACTGGTGTGGTAGTTAGCTCTCTGGGTGTAGCGAATCTTAGGTGTACTGCAGAGGTGCAAAGAACGGCGGTGTGCTCTAGGTGCGAGGGTCGGACGCCCTCAAGAGCTCACTATATCATCTGCATGTGGGCGAAACTTGGCGAAACACATGTATGTGTAATCGTGATAAATCAACGCGACGAGTATCGTCCGCGTTGCCTGTCTGAAGTTGTTATATATTTTTAGAGGGTAGCCGCGGGGTCCTCCCGGAAAAGACGGCGGACATGGAGAAGGGACAGACGCTACAAAAGGGGCGTCCCAAGAAGTACCTTCTATCAGACGGATTCCTTGACCACAGACCAAGTACTCAGGGTACCAGCACCACACCACCACTCAATACCACCAGCAGAACACCAACAGCAAGGACTACTTTCCTGTTCAGTACGACGTTAAACATGAAGTTCTTCCCGAGGGCCTCATGGGTTTTCTACGATAAATGATTCGACAATATTGAATAGGCGAAGCGAGATTCATTTTTCCGAAATTCATTGAGCGAATGGGGCGGAAAGACTACAACCTGAGATTACGTTTTGTCCGAAATCTGTCGACGAAAATACGTTAGAAGTTAGATTCATTTGTCCGAAATGCATTGAGCTAGGGGGCCGGAAATCCCCACCAACCAACTTGACATTCACATATTCCGCTATTATTTGGATAGATTCCTTTTTTCAGAACATAGGAGAAGACTATATTGTAGATATTCACATGTTTCCGAAATGGTTGCAGGCGATCAAATGAAGAGTGACAGCAAGACGGCGAAGTGGTGAAGACGAGGAAACGCTCGGTCGCACACTTGCCGTGTCTGCTGCTGCGCGCGGACGGGGGGTGAACTTCGGCGAGGGGGCATGGCTCGCCATATGCCCTATCCAGGCATGCTCAACATTTCGCGAAACGTGCGCCGTGGTCGACATCGGTCTGTTGATATTTTTCAAGCTGACCATGAGATTCGGATCTTCCAAAATGAGCGATGAGAACAGGAAGACGGCGAACTTGATATGACGAGAGAGACACAGCGCGCATTGTTGCACATGGCCGCCAACTTGTGACGTTTGCTACTGCACGCGGAAGTTGATCAAAGCTTCGCTCGAGGCCATGATTTGGGATGCCCGATCAAGACGTGTTCGAGAGGTCGAGAGCCGTGCGCCATAGGTCGAAATCGGCGTTTGGTACACGGTGGTGAAATGGGAAGAGGTGGGTGAAAAATATGAATTTGGGTCGGAGACAGCTTCAGAACAAAATTTCAAAAAACGAAAAACGAAATCTCTAGAGAGTGCTACTTGTATTTTCTGTTCTGCGCATTTCTACGTGATCATGTGTGTACGCGCCTGTTGGGTGCCAACGCGCCAAAAGAAAGCTCGCGGGCGTTCCAACTATCCATTGTTCAGGCCACAATCTCACAGTAGAAAAGGAAGGTGCCTGTTGGGTGCAAACGCGCCAAAAAAAAGCTCGTGGGCGTTCCAACTATCCATTGTTCAGGCCACAATCTCACAGTAGAAAAGGAAGGTCAGGTTTCTCGTGTGAAGGCCATAGCAATTGGCCTTGTATGCATTATTACCTCTGTGTTGCCTTGTTTGCACGTCTAGCGGATGTTGCAGTGTAAATTGTAGAATCATAATCTTATGTCGGTGCAAGTTCTCATATCGAACCGTTCAGCGGTGAAATCGCAACAGTGGTCATTCTCAAGGAGGGGTCCGAAGAGACGGAAGCACGTCAAAGCTAGGAGAGGCTCGCTCTCCACCTACTCGGCAAGACAAACAATAGAGATTCAGAATTTAGCTTGACCTCTTTGGGTGACATTGATCACAAGAGGCAACTTCGCGAGCACCGTGGTGCAGCGGGCGGATGAATGCTCTTGGCGATAGTCATGATGATGGCAGGCAGCTTTTTCCGTTCCTTCGAGCAGTCAAACAATACGTAAACGATGTCCAACCACTCTCGGCACGTCGATGTTTCATACGATACCCAACACCAAACATAACAAGAACCAAGCTAACATGATATAAACTGAATGCTATGCCCTACCTACCATGCACCAGGTGTACCATTCTCGTCTACTGTAAACATCACTGATACGTTACCCCAAAGGATCAACTACGTTTTGTATATTCAAAAAACGGCGGGAAACAACTGCTGCCCGTGAAATTCGAAAATCTGTAGATTTGAAAAACGAGTGATGTACTGCTGTATAGCCTTTGTTCCATCTTCCATGATTTTTACAATATTGTTCCTAATATCTAACAAACCAGCAAGCTTGTCAATAGACACTGCGCCATGTCCCCTGTGAAGGTTGCATTTTACAATACACAACACAACGGAGGGTTTCTCCCCGATATTTTGTAGTTGACCCAGTAGAGAACTACAGGGGATGTATTGTAAAATGTAAGTTACCTATACAGATGTTTTTGTACTTAGCACCAGCTGGCATCACTGGTATAAATCATCAGTGTATAGACTTAAAAAGACTCGAAGTAAGTCCAGTACCCAGCCGGTTTTCCTCCACTCACTGAAAAGACTCCACCACATCCCATTCGACTGTGGCTATATCTCGAATGGGTAGTCTTTCAGTGTGTGTAATTAGTTTTTCTTAAAAGTCATATGAGATAAACGCTGAAGCTATCTCTACCATCCGTTCGTTTTAGTTGCTCAGTCCTCTGTTGTCAGATGAGAGTACAAAATTAGTCTAGTGAAACGATAGGAGAGGAACTCACACCCAAAGAAAGCACCTCCTGTAGGGAAAAGCGCGCCATGGCACTCGACAACGTGTATCGCGATCGCGACGAACGTAGCATCTCAGTGCAAGGCGTGGCCTATCTACACCAAACAGGCTCGACGGCAGAAGACCCGATCGGTGATCACCCCAGATCATCGCCTGCTGCGTGTGCATATGATCTTCGGTTTTCTGAACGCACTTCACATCTTGTCGACATTGAGAGACTGACGCGAGTTGGTGAGTGGTGGCTGCTTGCCATCATCAACCTCCACAGCCACATCCGCTCTACCACCAAGGCGGCGCGCTACGGGCTTCGGGTTTAGATGAAGGATAGACCATTGCTGGTGAGCTCGGTTCGCCTACAGCGGGCAGAGGGTCGTGTTGAGGTGGAGTCTGTCAACTGCCGTCATCTTCTCGTCATGCCCTCTCACCAGATGGATCCCACAGCAGTCAGTGACAAATAGGTTACAGGTACGTTGCTCGGACCTCCACTTACATCGGCTCACCTTTCTCAGATGTGTACGTCGGGGCCTACGCGAGAGCTTGGGAGTGGTGGGGGAGAAGGACTGGTGGAAGGGTGTGAATCGCTGTTGGTATCAACGTGTGCCGACAGGCCATCCGAAAGATCCCTGGTACACGCAGCTCATATATGAAGATGCACCGCAGTCATGGAAAAAAAGCTTCTTCCAAAGTTGTGTTCGGAGTCATCACAGTCAATTAATAACAATTCCGATCTCTGTCTGCCAAACCATCCGAATCCTCCTGATATCTTTCATGCCCGTCTTCATGGACTTGTCCGCTGGTCTACTTGCAGATCTGCAAATGGTGGAACTCTTTCTTTCGTCTGTTCCAGTGTCAACTTGTTGACATGGAGCTGTTCCTAGCCGTCGCACAGTAGGCGTTCTAAAGACAACGGACGCTTTCGGTAAAATATAGTGTAAGAGTCTCGGGGGTAATTTAGAGCATACATGTGATGCAAGATTCATGTACTGCTGTGTGAGGGTAGCGTCGAACGTCGTGATGGTAGAAGATCGGAACAGTTGGAGCTGTTCGTGTACGGTCCCACGACAAACCACTTCCATGAAGGGGATCAAGATCCATAGCCATACATGCAAAGTGGCCACCACCGACACGCGCAATGTACCTCTGTCGCGTGAAGAGTCAAGTGCGCGACGCGTGACGTGCGGGTTGATATACCTTCTGCGTTCAACTAGCCTCGGCCCACAAAGAAAGCAAGGTTGTAACCCTGCCTTCGCGATGCAACTGTCTTTGCTCTTGCAGCAACGGGTAAAAGGAACAGTATTGGTTTCCTGCTAGGCAAATCAAACTGACATACGTAACCCTAACCCTAACTACAGCCACGTTGGCTGTAGATTTCCTTTATCAGTTCTTTGTATGCAGTCCAAATATATATAGGAACTATCTTAGAGCATGCTCCCATGTTCGGCTGTGGGTTAATCTTGTAACTATTTGCTCCCGGAATAACTTTGACGTGTCTGTTGTCCACGGGGCAGCAAGGCGGCCACGAGCGCTGCCTCCACAGGTGCATGACCGGTGCCTCACAGAGTGGAAAATTCAAGATTCGAAAGTCGATCCACCCAGATCACACCTCGGGAGGTACTCATATCAGTCGCATGTCGATACAGAGATATTCAAGAAGTTTGCCACCACACAACAGTAGTGAACGTCACTGCTGTCACCAATCAATGTTCTCAGTACGCTCCTTTGGGTAGAGCATCTCGAGCAGATACAACTGCCCTACCCTTCCTACTGTTCCTTCGTTCCCACATATTCCTCTTTTTTCGTTTTCAAAAATATTGGAAGATAAAATCCATCGGGATCTTGCCATCGGGAGAACGACAAGAAAATACACCGGCACGGACGTAGCATTGACGTTAGGTGGATTCGGAAGGACTCCGCGCTACAAGAACCCCGTCAGAAGATACCAACAGGTTCAGACCATATGCGACCCTTGGGATAGAATTGTTGAGATCTGTCTCTCCATTGGTCTTTGGCCGCTTACCTACAGTAGAGTAGAGGAGGATCGACTCTCCTTACTTTACCCTCCGCTGGTCACTGTTCTCTACCTCGCTCCTCGTTACATCTCAGAAAAGGGAATAGCCACCCTTGGCAGGGGGAGAATACTGCAACGGCACCGGCTCCTGTCTCTGTCGGAAACCTGTGCCCTTACACCCGGGATGTTGAATTTCTTCTACTCCCCGGAAATCCTCGGATCATGTGATGCCTGCTTCGAAGTCTGAGCACGCGTTTGTACAAGCAAGCACGGATGCGGGCTGTTGTGTGCTTGTCTCTCTTTGTCAGTCCACAGCAGTACATGTAGTCGGTTCTTCAGGCTTTGGTAAAAAAACACGTGACTCCAGCTCAGAAAGTCTCGCACATATCGAATGGTATATACTGCGCATGCATGATGTACCTGTAGAATTGCGTTTTCCACACATAGCATATGTTTCATTCTGCACCCTGCACACTGCACACCCATTACTGAAAATTGGTTGAGCCGAACTGCTCCCGAAAAGCAACAAAAAAAACGGAACTTTTTGTTGTCCCGCGTTGCAGGTTGGGTTGAGTTGTTAGGGCAGTGATAGGGGAATATGCACAGGGCATGAGGGGGGGGGCGTAGATGGAGAGGAGGGAAGCAGCATCTCCAGGAGTAATCTAGATCCGCTTTCCAGGTGCTCAAGGTGTTCTGTAAGCTGTATCGGAGGACATACAGCCACGCACAGCAGTTTTGTTGTTGCTTACGTCGTCTATACATTCAGTTGACTTGTACGATTCCTCGCAAACCCATTCATCTCCGGTTCGCTGGCTACTACTGCTGCTGCTGCTGCTACTCCTGCTGGTGATCCAAGGCGGAGAACTAGAGATAGGCTCTAGTCTCCTCCCGACATCGACTTTGTTGTCGATCTGGTGAATCGCAGCAAACGGCAACGGAGAGACTTCCATCACCGGTCCCACTGAAGGGGGTGAGTCCTACAGTAGCTGTAGAAAGGCACACATCTGAGAGGCATGTGTCGCCTTCCCAAGTACAGTGCGTAGCTTCCCAGGTACAGTGCGTAGATAGGTAGGGAACGCGCTGAGTAAATCCCCTATACGCCCAACTTGCTGACAAGATCTATCCTGTTGCATTGTACTGCTCGTGGCCTAGGACCATTTAATGTAAGTATGGATGTTGGATGAGGCCCCCAACTCCGGCCTGTGGTCTCATACTTTCCTTCCCACGCCTTCTTCTCGACCACTGACCTGGAGCCTGGTTGAGTGACCCAAATTCGTATATTCAGCAATGGGATTAAAGCGACCTTCGTGGGGGGGGCACACGCTGCAAAGTCGGCTGCCAATGCCAGAGATAACGGCGCCCCGTGGGTAGCCACATGGTTGGCCGCCCGCCGCGTCTGAAGGACGGCCCAAAGTAGCTCTTCGCGATCGATTCCGTTTCCAACCCCGATCTGCACATCTCCTATGGCGCTGAACCGCTCATGGATCTGCTCAATATTTCCTATACTACCTTGCGGCCCTGATGAATCAACCAGCAGGTCAGCCAAGCCCCCAACTGATTGTAAGGAAACGCACTATGGCCTATCCACGAAAGCTTCTGGAGGACCTTCAAGGAACGATGTTCGAGTACTTGCATCAAGACGAGGCAGAGTTCTTGTACGAGGTAAGAGGAGGATGTTTGCAGTGTTTATGAAGCTGTGTGTCCGTTGCTGTCTTCTGTGTTGTGGGTCTCGAAGTCAAGCTTTCACGTGCTCAGTGACGGCAGCCGCCAGCTCTTCTTGGCGACGCGGACACCCAGCAGGGAAATTTTTGGTGAGTTTCAAGGGGACGTACTGGTGTGCGATGAAAAGGGCGGTATGCGATGCGCCGTTAGAGTGAGCAGGGAGAACTCTAATTTTGCGGTGGGCACAAGGGCTAAGGGCGGAAAGACCGGATGTATCCTCCAATAGCCCGGAACACCCGACAGTTCGGCGTGTCCGCGGGATGATGGTCATGGTTCCGGCGCAGTGCCCGCAGAGGTATTGTGCGCGTTGGTCCAGTCTGTCTTTTCCCTCGCGCAGCTGTCGCGACAGCACGTGACCTTCCTTCATGGTGCAGCATGACTGCCAACTCAGTCATGTCTCAATAGTCTTTAATAACAGTCTTGGTCATGTACGGGTCGACTTGACGACGATCCATGCACTTCACAAGAGCTGCGGCGAATCATGTCTAAATTTTGCAGCATGCCGCATGCACGGTGTGCACCGAAAGCCCGGCCGCCGGCAACCTGTTGGCAATTGGACATGAGAGTGCGATTCTCGGCGCAGTGGCGAAAATTTAGATTTTTCGATTCCTCACATCATGGTTTTAGCGCCGTATTGCCATACTTTTGCAAACAGGGGTGTTGATGTTGAGATAAATGATGCCGTCGACACGCGCGTTCGATGACGACTTCCCCGCGTCGTTGGCGGCTTCCGTGTTCTTGTGGACGCAAAATTCCATATCCTCGTCCCAAGGGTCGTGCATGATTGATATTTGCAAACCACTCCGACTGTTTCGTGCGAACGTCCTTGGACTACAACGCCCACTGCTGCACTAGGAGTACATTGTGCCCAAACATCTCTTACGACAGGGTACAAAGACATTCCTGTTGGCGCGTTTCTCATTTTCTCCCGTGGTTCTTGGTCACGTTTCATGATGCCATATATACTGATATGTCTTTCCGCATATCGTTCCAATTCTTAGGCGCAAAACCCTTCTGCTTATCTTCGCTGGAAGACCTCGAACACGCATATGAAAGGAATTGTCTCATCGCGATTCGTTAGTTGCTACTGCTGCTGTGGTGAAGTGCACAGCTCTGAGCGGTGGCTTGTCAGGCGGGAGCAGCAGAAGCTTGCTCCACGCGCATGTGCGAACCATTGCTGTAAACCCCGATGTTAAGATAGCATTATTGACGTGATGTTACAAGATCTGTGTCCGTTGTGCTTTCCACTCCACTTAGCTGTAGGCCAAGCACATGTAAGAGTTACTCTGAATTTCACGGATGTACTTCGGCCTCTATCTGCGCCAATTGCACAGTAGAGCCACCGATAATTGTTATTTTTTGTGAGTACTTGCGCAATCTCGCAACACGAGCAATACCATTCACTTCGACACAACGAAAGCGCTTTTCGGTGCGAAACGTTAACATATATTGCTATTGCAAAGGCATCGAGTGCACCAACATGAGCAAGAAATAGGCATTCCGCCATTCTTCCCTCCAATGCCAAAACCAATCGCGTATTACATGATTCCAATGGCCAACTCGTAGCCAACTGCAAGTCGGCGAATTTTGCTCGTCGCACTTTCTGCACCGGATCCTACCGTGTTTGGCAGCCGCCGTTCGCAGTAGGTACTCCGCTCGAGCCTACACCCCAGGCAATCCCCACTGCGTGGTGTGGGCCTTTCCGATTCCGTCGTCGAGCGCCTCGGCGCTCTCGGTATCGTCTCAGCTGGTTTCTCGAAACGCCCTCGCGCTCGTCTGGCGTTCCTTGCGATGCCGAGCGTGCTCTTGGCGGGATGGCGTGTGACGGCCGTGCCGTGACTACGCATTCAATGCTGTGTCCTCCACCGAACGGATTTGGTTGGTCACGGCTGATCGCTTCAACCTCAAAATCTGGGCGTTTTTACGAATGCCTCAATACTTGCCGTGTGCCAACACATAATTCGGCGGCTAAATTCTCTTTTTATTGTTTTCCTTTCGAATTGCCTTCATCATTATTTTTCCACGGCCGAAGGAAAGAGAGAGGTGCCAACTGCTTCTCTCTCTTTCCTCCGAGCGGCAACCACAAATTCTCTTTTTCTCGGTGCAGGGGCTAATCTTACTGCCCGCAGTAGTCTCAGATGACCAAGTCCCCAAAATGGTACCCTACCATTTTCTTCGCCCATTAGCAACTGCAACGGTCCTTGCCTCCCCCCACCTTCGAAAGGAAAGGGGTGGGTGGGCGGGAAAGACCAAACTTGTTTGCCGCTCCTCCAGCTGGCAAACCACTCGAAGCCCTCACAGTGTCCACCTCGCTCCTTGTCTCTGCGTTGCTCTCTCTAGACTAGTCCTCGTAAGACTTTGTGTGAACACCTAGCTTCGATAGAGTGCCGAGGTGGTGGCTACTCCCCTGCTCCCGCTTGGGAGGGGACCCCGTGTTTCCGTAGCAATTTATGCATACCCTAACAACGACGTTACAAATTCGACTACTTTCAATAAACCTTGATTTGTTTCCGTCTGCTCCTACAACAAATCTCCCCTTTATTGTTTTCCTTTCGAATTGCCTTCATCATTATTTTTCCACGGCCGAAGGAAAGAGAGAGGTGCCAACTGCTTCTCTCTCTTTCCTCCGAGCGGCAACCACAAATTCTCTTTTTCTCGGTGCAGGGGCTAATCTTACTGCCCGCAGTAGTCTCAGATGACCAAGTCCCCAAAATGGTACCCTACCATTTTCTTCGCCAACCTCGAGGTCATCCTGCTACTACTCGTTCGGTGATATTAGCCTCCTCTTATGCCTACCCCACACCGTGCCTTCTCCTGGCTGCCGCTCGACTCCCTTATCCTTGTCCCCAAGTATACGTGACACCATTCGCGAGTCTTCCGTGTTGTCTACTGTATACGGTTTGTACGCATCAGACTTCCACCTTCCTGCTCTCTGGATTACTCTTTCCGAAACATTGCCTCCAGCCGCCAAGGTGGAAGCCCCTCCAATTCGGAGCGAATGTAACGCAAAGTCTTTTGGATTTCGCCCTGACTTCTCGACAATCTCTCTCAACGCCCGAAGGGCTTGGTCATACTTCAGAACCTTCACTGCACGGCCGCTACGGTATGATGATAGCGGCGCATCATCGGGTAACGTTGCATGACATGACAACAGCTCCAACATCAGCGCAACTGCTCCGCCGTCTGCTCTGTACCCCGATTGTGGGCCGTTAATCTCATCCCGTGTACGAGCCCTGACCGACCCCGTCTGGTCCTGGTCACCCTTGTGTCCTCTAAAGTGCACCTCTATCTTATCCGCCTCTCGCCATCGGACATACTCCAACTGTTCCTCCCCAGAGAAAAACGCAACATCCCGTCTCGTGAGACAATGTACTGGATGCCCGACCCCGGTACTGTCAGCAAACATTTCGTCCGACCGAGTGATCAAGAAATAGCTTAAGCTCAAACATAACCACATCACGCGTCCTCCTATTCCCCAAGTGGGAATCATGCTCTCACCCCCTCGCAACATCCTCCAAGTGATCGGCAATCGAACTCGTTGACGTACCCCGGCGACCGCGTGGGACCTAGAAATGCCCCGAAGTGCACACTTCAGCAACGGCGACGACGTGACTATCTCTACATGTGCTTCCACCCTGTGGTGGTACTGCACCGCTGCCAACTTCCCCGATATAGTCCCGGCCTGGTTTCCTTCCGACTCGAAACACCACGCCGCAAAGTCAATCAAGGCCCACACCATCTCTGTGTGCGGTGACTCTGCGCTCAAGAACTTTTCGTAACCCATCATCCTGCGAAAGACACACCAAGACCGGAAACCTGACGCGTAATTGCGTTGAGACGAATTCGCAACTGATCGTCCGATGAGCTTGAGGCCAAGACCGCGGAAGTAATGTCCGTGGCTTCTTGGCCCAAGAGTTGTTCCTGCCAGCGAATATCGGGCCGGTAGGCGTGCAAGTTAACAGCGATTTCATCACGCGTCCATCTCGAAATACCGTCAGCCAAAGTATTATGCACGCCTCGGATATGCTTGGCCCGAAACCGCCAACCGCTGCGCATCTCTAAGCACCCTAGCATACGCATAAGTGCTCCCGATCTAGGCTCTTGCGCCCCCCTGCATTTGTTGACCCAGTGTACAGCACTCATGTTATCTCCCCTCATCAAGATACTCTGCCCCGGGTACTCTGGCCGCGTCCCGGCGTGAACAGTCAACGCCCACGCCGTCAGCACCATGCCTAGCAGCTCGAACACGTTCACCGACAAATCGTCCCTAGATTCCACGCGGGTGCGAAGGCGAACTCGAACGTCTTCTTCGTAATCAACCCGCCACCATTGGCCCGTCTCCAAGCAATATCCTCCCATGCCATCCCCGCTCGCATCACTTACTAGAGTCAGGGAAGGCGGCTGCACAAAACAAGAGAACAGGGGAGCTCCCAATCTAGTGACACCATCGGCTCCCGTGGCCATCTCTACGACGAGTCGCCAAAAACCTAAATCATCGTGGAACTCCGGACCCAACTCCACGCGCCCATACCGTTTCGTGCGACGGTCAACAACCCCTGACGTGGTTGTGTCTTTCGCCGTGAGTGGCGCTAGCTTCAGCTGGTTCAGAATTCGGCACACGAAAAACTTGCCAGGCCGGATTACCTCACACAAGTGTAACAGCTTGCCTAGCAAAGATCGTACATCCTTGACTGACGCCGACTGTCGGTCTGTTGGCCACTCTGCCAGGAGCTCTCGCAGCTGTGCTATTTTCGCTAGTGGAACCGAAATAGTCATGGCCACTGTGTCTATCATCCAGCCCAACATCTCCACGCGCGTATCCCATGGGGTGGTTTTCTCCTGAGCAAACAGCGGGGGCTCTCCGGAGTCACGGTTACCGAACAAACGAAAGCTGTCAGATGCGAACGATTGGGACGCTCGAATGCATCGCCTTCCACCTA